CCAGGTAGATGCCAAGCACCTGTAAGGTACTGGTACCTAGAGCCCAGATTTTTCCCAAACTCCCCAGAATCCAGCTTTTAACCCAATAAAATCCTACAAACCCATTACATTTAAAATACAAGCTTCGTGCAAAATTTTCACAAGTCCAAAATAAAATTATACATGGGATTACAAAAAGTAGCTTAAGAGCAACAACCCAACTGTGTCATTAACACAGGCCCAAGCGAGGGCCATCCACTGAAGCTTGTCCAATATCTAAAATGCATCCCCATAAAGGGTCAGTCACACTCAATAGGTTATCTTCCAAGGAGGCTAATCCCCAACTCAGGTGTATATGAAATGTCACATGCAAATCATCACATCAAATATTCATTCAAATACATCCATTTCATACATGAATGCTACCATTCCACACCTTGAGAATGAACACACGTATGCAATGCAAACACGAGCCAAAGATGATCTTCCGCAAGTTCCAAGGGATGATATTTATAGACAAGGGAGGGAGGTAAAGGACAGACCTAGGTGCCTAAAGTCCAAGCCTATGCCAAAAAATCTAGGTGGAAATCTGATCTGCATGCATTCTCTCTGGAATTTATTTAAAATGGTACTTGGCGTTTGAACGTCTAAGTATTTCTTCTTTGAAGTGCTTTCAAACGATTTTGGAGTTCAAACGTGTTTGATAATGCAACTTTGTCATCCACAGTAGCAAGCCTCGAGTCATCTCCGAAGTAGCCTCCTGGGGATCTTGAATGATTGCAAGGTGGTGTTCGAACATTAAAGTGGCATTCAAACTTGGAAGCAAAGTCTGCTTTGTCAAATTGTTCCCTCCTTCTTGGGTTCCCTTTAAAAAACACATGTGTGCTACTTTAAAAAGTGACTTTATTGCCTTCAAACCCTTGTACTTTCTTTATCCTGAAATAATATCATTTAAACATAATTAAAGAATAATTAATCTCATGAAGGCATAATAAGATAAACTTTTAACTATGCATCACTACCGAACCCATAACCTATTCGCATATTAATCACATGACCATTCCAAGGTCCAAACCCTAAATCCAAGACTTAAAATTTTACCATTTACATCATTCAATGGAAAAAACTCAAGATGCATACCCAAGGTCCAAACCCCAACATTATGCCCAAACAACACATTATTCATGAAAGCCATATCAATCAGTTTCATCAAACCCAAATCATACAAGAATTGGTTTTAACCTTTCCTCATGCTCATTTTCCATATTCTAACAATACTAGGTATGTGTTATATATGATAATTCATCTCTAACACTTGACCCATTTCATATTTTAAACTTAGGTTGAAAATAAACCTAGATAGAAAATGAACTCTACCTTTTGTAGCGTATATTCGCGTAAAAGAAGCTCCAAAACTTCAAATCAAGGTTTCCAAGCTTTTTCCCAAAACTTTCGTCGTTAAGATTTTGGTGAAAATCACAATCTTTGGTATGGGAACGTAGCACTCGTTGTGTAGAGCGACTTTAACTCTTGGCCTAAGGCAATCCGACAGTTGGATCTTGGCGGATCAAGGGAAGAAGGTTGGAGAACTTTTGAGTTTTTGTCTCTTCTCTCTCTCTCTCTTTATAGAAATGACGGCCAAGAATGGGGAAAAATCTGATTTTTTTCCCCTTTAAATACTCACCCAAATGTTTGGCCCTCATTGCTCCACACGTCTCATTTTAATTATTTCTCAATTTTTGAGAATAAAATCTAATTGTGTTTATTTTGGTCGTGCGATGCCCGATCGCCTAGTAAAACGCAAAAAATTTGACAGTCTTAGAATTTGACAAAAATTGACTAGACAGCTAGATTCCGCGATACAAATTCAATGGTGAGGTTTGTCACACAATTTCTTACGTGGAAACCCTCATAGGAAAAACCAGGGGACCAAGTTCAACGTAAACCCTTCGCTATTGAAATCAGAAGTACATTCGTAAATATTTACAATCCTTCTAGCCAGACTAGACGTAAGCTATTATCTTGTCTCTTACTCTTCCGACAAACTCCCTTTTGTTCTTCTACTTGTAGAACACTAGTTCCTCCTGTTATAGATTCAACTTATGCTCCCCCTAGAACATTATTGACTTGTCCTTTGCAAGGCTTAATCTTACTCCTTAGAAATCAAGTACAACTAGAAATATTTTATTTTTTAAAAATGAACAATTTAGAGGGTTTTTGGACAAACCTAGAAGGAATATTCTCTTAAGAAAACTCATAAGTTTAAGTGCGGGATAAATAAGATGAAAAATAACCTAACTATCTTCCAAGGTAAACAACACACAAGGAAAGTAATAGAATTTCAATTAAAAACTTGCTAGCTCTTAACGAGGCATAAAATCTTCTTAAGAAGGTGATCTCTTCAAGCTCTTCAAAATCTCTAGGATTTCGAAAGATTTTTATTCAAAATAGGTAACTCCGTATTCTAATATCCCTCAATCGCTCAAGAGCCAAGAGAAAGCAAAGCAAGCGCAACTACTAAAATTTATCAATCGCTGTTGTAACTCTCGCTCAAGCCATCAATGCAATATGTTTTCTAAAAAGTATTTTTAACAAAATACTTTGACAAAACTATTTTTCTTTATGAAAATTTTCAGGTCAGCCACAATCACGCTATAAAAATAAATACTCTCAAAATAATCATCTATTGACTTTCCAAATATCTATGTCAACTTACCAAGCTAATCCTGTGGTTAAATTCAATGAAATCTTCTTCTAGCTCTTCAAGCCTCAACTTTTGTTAGTCTTCAAATATTAAATTTTCATACTTAACGTTAGATTTATCCAATCTTTTATATTTATGTGACTCACGTAATCATGCAAACACTACAATTATTTAAAAAAATATCAAATAAGAATTAAAAATAACACAATCCCATGCCACAAATAATACTAAGGCCTACTTAATTTTAAAATTGGCAAACCCAAATTTTACACGAAAAACATTTTGTTTTGTAATTAATCTAATTAGGAAAAGTCTAATTTTCAATTTTTTTTTATTTTTTGATCTGATTAACATGAATCATTGTTGAATAGAGGTTTTGGACTTATTTTGGTTAGGATCAAAATTAATTAAAATTTTAATTTATAAAGAATTTATAAGTTTTAGATTTTATTAAGAAAAAAACGAAAACTCAAGTTTTTATTTTACGTGTTCAAACAATATGCGTGTTGAACTAAACATAACACATGTTAAATAATTTAGGTTAACGTTAAGTTATTTGATGATTAATTAAATATTTACATTATTGTTGACTAATAATAAAGTTAAATTCAAAAAATATCATCTGAACATAACAAGGCAAGACCCGAATAACACTACTTAGACTAGAGGTCCAAGCTACTTAAACCAACTCAATTACTAATAGTTAAAGTTATAATGAAAATAAGATAACTTGGGCATAATTTTATTATTCTAATGTACAATTGGATGAAATATAATTATATTCTCTGTTAATTCATTAAACTAAAGCATTAGATTGATAAACAGATTATGTCAAAAGATAAAAAATAGTAGATTATGGCTAAGAGAAAAAAATAAAGATTTTATTAATAAAGAGAAAATAAAATAAAGCATTATGCAATTAAGATTTACTTTAATTCATTTTAATTTTATATTAGTAAAACAATATTTATTGTATTGAATCCAACTTGGACTTATGGTAAACAATTCGAACAGGGCTATAATGATTAAAAAAATAATAAGATAAAAAACAAGGATAAAATAATATGAAGTTGAAATATTATCCCCATTTTTTGCCCAAGTGACGAAAGATGAGATGTTGGAATCCCAACGTCTTCCCTTATAAAATGGAAAAGGGTGTAAAAATCATTCGGACCCCTTGAGTTTGTCTTCATGACATGGACACCCCCTCACATCTTATTAATTATAGTGAGACCCCTTATCATAAACAAAGTTAATAGAAGTTGTGCAATGACAAGAATAACCCCCATGTTGCTGAATTATAATATTACCAATCAACCACAAAGTTTAAAATGACATAAACATCCTGTCTGACTAACAAAACCCTAAAAAAGTTGAAGCCCATGTTCTATAATCTATTGTTTGCCACATAGAGGGAGAGAGAGAGATTCATCTTCTCTAGCCCAGAATGGGTTAGATTTGGTATGTAAAACTCCAAATTTAGTGAGAATCGTAGATTCAATTCAAACCTCTAGCCCCAGCAAATTAAATAAAACCCTAACCTTCCTTTTTAGAATCAACCATTGCATGTGTTTGAATCTAAGTGTAATCTATTACTCTAGAAGCAAATATAACATGTACAAAACCCCGATTTGCCCTAGATCTAGGGTATCAATCATATTATGTCATGTCATTTTCATGTCGCGTAACTTTCAATCGTATTATTTTCATGTCGTGTCACTTTCGATACATGTCAGGTTCGTGTCAATATTTGTGTTAATAAAAAAAATATTTAATTCGACAACAACTCATATAATACTATTTAAAAAATTATAAAAAATTATAAAATTCTTAATTTCTATCTACAATACTTGTTAAATAATTATTTCTATCTACTGTATCTATTAATTGTGTTATTCTTAATTTGACCAATTTATTACTTGTGGCAATTAATCGTGTTATTTTCGAATTTTGTGTCGGGTCGGGTTTGTGTTAACAGATAAAATTGGCACCCCTTCCTAGATCTAACCCTTGTAGTCCAAATCTAACCCTAACTCCAACCTTAATAGCTTCATAAGAAACTACAGAAGAATGAAAAAATTCCATGAGTGAGGGTCTAAATTCTTGTAGTGATAGGAATCAAAAGCGACACCTACAAGTTGAAACTAACTCGTGACTATTGGACACTAATGGGAGTTAATTCTCTTGCAACCATTGGTAAGTATTCAACCTTCTATGCAATGTTTTCCTATTCATTAAATTTTTGGTTTGATGTAAAATTGTAGTTGGGTTTTGTTTTTGAAATTGGGATTGAATTATTCAGATTATGAAAAAAAAAATGGGTGAACTTGAGTATGATATAGTTGTCCATAGCAATGATGTCGTTGTGACAATTTATAGAATAGACCAAGACGAGTACAGTCTTATGGATTTGGTAGTTGATATTCACAAAGTATTACTTGGTTGTATGCAATAAAATATATTGGTGACATATAAAATCATTGTAGATAAGTCAAACGGTGATCGGAGAATGGCAATTGATGATGATAAATGTTATTGGATATATTTAATATGTATTAGAATAGTAAAGAGATACATATTTTAGTTGATGTTGGATACCAGGCTATGCTCCTAGCTTCAAATGTAAATATGTTGAATGAAAACAGGCTAGTTGATAATATGGTTGCAGGTAAAATGAAAACAGGGAAACTGGTAATGTGGAAATAGGTGGTGTAAATGTAGAATCTGAGGTTGGAAATGTGGAAATATGTGTTGTAAATGTTCCGTTTGAGGTTGGAAATGTGGAAACTGATGTGGGAGATAATAATGAGGACAATGTATATGGTTTCAGTTCTGAGGATAAGGACTGGAGAGGCGAGGGTGATGATGTTCATGATTCTAGCAATGACTGCCAATATGTTGGGCCAATTAGCACATGTGAACAATGGGATACAAATAGTGGTGGTTTTTCAAATTATCAATATGGGGATGAAGGTGGTAATGTGGAAACAAGTGGTGTAAATGTAGAATCTAAGGTTGGAAATGTGGAAATATGTGTTGTAAATGTCTAGTTTGAGGTTGGAAATAGGGAAACTAATGTGCGAGATAATGATAAGGAGGACAATGTATATGATTTCAGTTCTACGGATGAAGAATGGAGAGACAAGGGTGATGATGTTCCTAATTCTAGGAATGATTGTCAATATGTTGGGCCAATTAGCACATGTGAGGAATGAGATACAAATAGTGATGGTTTCTCAGATGATCAATCTGCGGATGAAGGTGGCAATATGGAAACAAGTGGTGTAAATGTAGAATCTGTGTTTGGAAATATTGAAATAGGTGTTGTAAATGTTTAGTTTGTAGTTGGAAATGGGGAAACTCATGTGGCAGATAATGATAAGGAGGACAATGTATATGGTTTTGGTTTTGAGCATGAGGACTGGAGAGGCAAGGATTATGATATTCTTGATTCTAGGAATGATTGCCAATATGTTGGGCCAATTAGCACATGTGAAGAATGGGATGCAAATAATGATGGTTTCTCAAATTATCAATCTGGGGATGAAGGTGGTATGAATAGTAGTGATTCTGACGATGTAGAGAATATGAATGGTGATAGAAAGTGAAAAGTAAATCCAAAATGTACGATACATCTGAATATGGGATTAAGTTTCATGTTGAGAATGGTGGAAACTCTAACTGGGATTTCTGTGTGGGGAAGTTGTTTGGTAATGTTGATCTTTTTAGAGATGCTTTAAGTGACTACATCATTAAAAAAGGGATCAAAGTGATTAGGAAGAAGAATGAGAGGACTAGGGTAACAATGTATTGTGCTGCTGAAGGGTGCAAAAAGGAGCATAATTGTATTAGGTATAGGAAAGTGGATGAGGAAAACAATCGTTGGATTGTAAAAAAGTTGAAGGGGGTCATCAAGAACAACCCAAAGATAGCATTTGAGGGTATGCAGTCTTATACACCCCATCCCGAGAGACCTATTTGGTATCCCAAAGATGGAAGTATAACTTGATATGTGACAATAGTTGCGCCTATAATTCAGGAATGCATTTAAACCAATAATACCAAATAATGATCTCATGAAATAGACAAACCATGCAGGTCTATGGCAGAGTGCACAATTGTGCAACTTAAATCAAAACAAAATATTAGGGAATTCTCCCCTAAATCAACAAGGACATGAATGCTTTTGTACAAAATATACACAACCAGTTTCCTTAACCTTCCATCTAGACTCTACTAGTGTAAAACTGGGGTAAATTTGAATTTTTTATGAAAAATGGCAAAACGGTAATTTGCTACTATAATACAGATTTAAAATACGTATTTTTCAAGAGCTCGGATGATGCAACGGATATTACCTTTAGATTCTTCTTGCGAAATCTAGTTATCCTGTCAAATTTCATCAAATTTTGAGATAGTCAAATTTTTTACGTTTTACGAAAAATTGGGTGTCTGACCTCAAAAACGTCCCCAAAAATAAATTTTATAAAATTTTCTTATAATTTAACTTAATTTCATATAAAAATAATTTAACCTTAAACCGGGACGAAATTAAGTCGTTTCGGGACAAAAACAGACCCGAAAATAGAGAACGTGCGGTGCGACGTGGACCGCACAATTAAAGAATATAAATAGAGAGAAATATCTGATTTTCTCCCTATTTTCATCAGATTTCTCATGTTAGAAGAGAAAGAGAGAGAATAGAGAAAAGAAAAAGAAATCTCCACCTTCTTTCTTCGATCTACAGAGTTCTGACGGTCGAAATTCTTCGGACCAAGAGTTAAAGTCGATCACCTCGACGAGGGCTAAGTCTACGTACCAAAAATCAAGGATTTCACCAAAGATCCAAAGAGGAGATTTGAAAAAATCAAGAGTTTTGGGTTTGGGAGGTGTTCTTGAGGCTTTCTACCATTCATTTTACGCTTCAAGAGGTATGGTTTCCTCCTACTTAGGTTTATTCTTAACCTAGGGTGTCCATATGTAATGGGTAGGTTGATAGAAATGTATGTCATGTACCTATTGTTATGGAAATGGATATAGAAATGGCTTAGACCAACTTCTAGTTGAATTTGGTTTAGGGAAGCTACTTGTAAAATTTTTGGAACTTGCTATTATGTGGACAATTTGGTGATAACATGATTGTTACCTTAAAGGTATTTTGCTAAATACCTATGTGAGAATTAAGTTTGTTATGACATGAATGATGTATAACATGCATGAGAAAATGGTAATGAAATGAAGGAATTGATACATATTGTTAATATATTAGCATCATGATGATTGTGGTAATTATATGCTTAGGATATAAATTGTCATGACATATGTTGAAATATGTGGTTAAATTGGCTTACATGCATTCATTACATATAACGCATGACATTGATATTGCAATGGTACCATACATTGCAATTGCACAGAGGCATCGCGTCCATGGGCATGAGACATGGGTGTGTGTGTGTGTATGTGTGTGCATGGGTTGATCAAACACCATAATTGGTGATTGATAGGTGGGCTCGAGAATATTGGATTGAAGATCTGACTGAGTCACATGGTTGCATGAAAGAAAAACTTGTGTCATGTATAGTAAGAAGGGATAGATTCTCCCTCGGGTGCAAGACCCGGCTACTTGGTTCATACATTCCCCTGTGGTGCAATTCCGAAAAAGTATAATGGCATACGGAGCCAGCGGTGTGATTCCAAAATCCGATACCCAACAAAGACACGTGATTTTGTTTTATAAAATAGTCGTTCAACGTTTTTCGTCAATGACAAATGTATTACACACATGCATTGCATTGTGTTGTGGGAGTCGGTGAAGACTTGGGGTAAAATGCATTAGTGAGTTTCACCTCATTTCATGTCATGGCATGGTAGCATTCCAACATTGAAATTGTATGTTCTTAATTGGAATGGATTATGCTTGTTGCTTGTTGCATGTGCATGTTTCATATGCACTTAGGTTGGGGGAGTAGCCTTTGTAGAGGATACTCTATTGAGCGTGGCTCACCCTATACGGGAAAATATTTTAGGGGTGGGATACACTCTAGTGGATGGCGCTCTCATTCGGGGCCCTAATGATGATGAAAGGCTGACTTGTGGCCTTGAATTCGTTTTGTGTAAAACTATTGTGAAAATTATGTTTTGGGTATGTAACCGTATGAAATTGCCATAATAGAACTTGTATATATTAGGTTTTATGTGAAAAACCTTATTAAGCATGTTTTGGTTGGTGGTGGAAGGGATTGAAATGGATTGAAAATTGAAAACAGGTGAAACAGGCAAAACTAGGCAGAGCCTACCGGTATAGCCTACCTGTAGGAGTGGGTCCAGTACGCAAAGCATACCGATATACCCTACTGGTAGGATTTGGTCCATAAGGCTCACCATACCGGTAGACCTTCCAAAAATTTGAAATTTTTAAAATTGTTTTGTCATGCTTTTGGGCCATGTGTCCTTCCTTCCAAATGATGTAAATGGACTATAATGGAGTATGAAATGTGGTACATTGGACCACAGTTGGATCAAATGATAAAATGTACATGGGTTACGCGTGTGGGTTATAATCCCGGTTAAGGAGATGTTATAGACGTGATGCCAAGTTGTGCGACAATCAGGAGTATTTCCGCTGGTTAATGGGTAGTCAACGGTTAATAAAGGACTCCCGATTTTAGAGGCGTCACAATTAGTGTTATAGTGAACCCAATTCTACACTTCAACTTCCTAAAAACAAATATTTTCTTGAGTGTAATGCACATAATAATACATGAAAAAATTTAAAATATGGATCAAATATCATTTCACTAAAATATATTCACAATATGAAGAGAACGAAAAAATCAAAGTGTTTTCAACTCACTTTGAAATCTCATAATCATTGCCAAAATAACAACATAATAAATATTCTACATGTGCTATGAGTCAAAATCAACATTTAATAAATATCAAGCTATCTACAACATTTAAGCAATGGCATGCTGCCTCACAACAACTTCGTAGTGTTAATGGAGGTCAAATTGTCTCCAGAGGGAAAAACATATATTTTACACTACATATTGATCTAGTTATTGGATTGACCTCAAATTTTATCGGGACATCCACTTGGACGTTACAGAACTTTTGGCATTGAGCAAAGGTCTATCAGACAATGGACGTGCCCTCACGTGTTGTTGGGGTGTCTAGTGGTCCCCTTGGTCCACTTCATCTTCAACCTCAAGCGATCCTAAGCGTCAACAAATTCTATTTCAAGACCCCCCTTTCTCACCCATATATATCGCTTCATAGAACACCTTTAGACTTGTTTTTAGAACCTATGTACTCTCCTCATGGCCCTCTTCAAATTCCCATAGGTGAGCACCTTCGAATCAAACTCCAACTCATTAAAAGATTGAACCAAAGTTTGAAAAAAATAAGGTTTTCCAAACGGGGTTAGACCTACAACTGCCTTTTTCATCCACCAAACAACTTTAAATCAATTTCTGAGGTCACCAATGGAGTCCTAGGGTTGGTTTTTGATTAACCCTGAATAGTACGATAATGAATTAGAATTTAGGGTTAAATTTGTGCATAAAGTAGGTAAAGTTGTAAACCCCCCCCCCCCCCACACTCTTATCTTTATATAGCAAGTAATCATTTCTTTTTGAAAATGCTAATATTGTTAAAAACCGGGTAAAGATATGAAATCGTTTATAATAGAACTTGTACCAACTATGTTTGATGTTCAAATGCATGTTGTATAAGTTTGGGTTGGTTTTGGAAGGGTTTGGAATGGATTGAAAATAGAAAACAGGCGAAACAAGCAAATTCAGACAAACTGTACCAGTATCGTGTACCAGTACCACGTTGTCCAGAAAGCATAGAGTACCGGTACACACTGTACCGGTACTCTTTCTAAAAATTAGAAATTTTAAAATTGTTTTGCCAAGTTTTGGGACTATGTATTCTTTCCTTCAAATGTTATAAATGGACAATGATAGAGTACCAAGGATGGTATGTTGGACCTCGGATGGGTTAATCGATTTAAAACCTTCATTAATAGCAGTTCAAAGGAATAAAATAGTAATTTTAGTGTTTCGAGTGTAAATATACTTTAGAATAAAGATAAACCATAAAACTAAATATTTTTAGATTAAAATAACATTAAAAATGAATTCGGAACGTCTAAAAACCTTAGGGTAGTCATAGAGATCAAATTAAAAATATTTAGTGGCAAAATTATAATTTCGGAGAAAAATGTAATTTTAGGCCCTATGAACAGTAAAATTCAAAACTTTGGCTGGCTTTAAAACACCATTTTCATCCCATTCTCTTTCATTCTTTCACTCCACTCTCCCCCCCAAAACACATAGAACCCTAGGAGAAGATAAAGGGAAAAAAAAAAGGGAGGAAGAAAGTCTTTAGAGCTTGGGGTTTTGTTTAGAACTTTTGATTCAAGGTAGGGGTTTCTTCCCACTCTTGTTCATTGAGGCTAGGGCTTACATATATGTATTATTTTCACTCTCAATCATATATATATGCTATGAAATCCTTACTCCTTGATATTTTTGCAAAGATTCTCATGTTTTGAGGGAAGTTATGGTGGAATAGCTATCAAATCTTTTTTTTTTTTGTC